ACTCTGGCTTTAAATAATGTTCTGTATGTACCTGCCTTGCGTAGAAATTTGATAAGTGGTGGGCTTCTGAATAAGGCAGGCATTAAGTTAGTTTTTGAGGCAGATAAACTTGTACTTTCCCGAAATGGTGATTATGTGGGGAAAGGGTTTTTAAGCAATGGTTTATTTGTCATAGAAACTCAATTTAATGAAAATAAAGCTACCACTTCTGCTTATATTGTTGAATCCATTGATATGTGGCATGCTAGATTAGGACACGTGAATATTCATGCTTTAAAGAAATTAATGAATATGAATGTTCTGCCTAAACTAGACACAACTAGCTTTAACAAATGTGAGATTTGTGTAGAAGCTAAGCATACTAAACCTCACTTTAAGACTGTTTCTAATAGAAAGACTGAACTGTTAGAACTCATTCATACTGATCTAGCAGATTTTAGAAACACTGAAAGTAAAGGAGGAAAACACTACTACATAACTTTTGTAGATGATTATTCAAGATATACAAAAGTTTATCTCCTAAGAACTAAAGATGAAGCTGAAAACTTCTTTCTTATTTATAAGGCAGAAGTTGAAAATCAGTTAGATAGGAGAATCAAACGAGTTAGATCTGATAGAGGTGGTGAATATGGATCTAATTTCTTAAAAGATATTTGTGAAAAGAATGGCATAATTCATGAAACATCAGCCCCCTATTTTCCTCAACAGAATGGTATAGCCGAAAGGAAAAATAGAACTTTAAAAGAGATGATGAATTCTTTACTAATAAGTTCCGGGTTATCTGATAACATGTGGGGGGAGGCCATTCTATCGGCAACTCATATCTTGAACCGAGTTCCTCATAAGAAATTAGATTCTACCCCATATGAATTGTGGAAAGGATACGCTCCTAATTTACAATACCTGAAAGTGTGGGGTGTCTGGCTAAAGTGGGCTTGCCAGACTTTAAGAAGTCCACCATCGGACCTAAAACCGTTGATGCAGTGTTTATAGGGTATGCTACGAATAGTGTTGCATACAGATTCATGCTTTTACAAGATTATTCTATTTGTGAATCAAGAGATGCTGTTTTCTTTGAAAATACTTTTCCTTTAAAGGAACCGAGAATAAATATTGAAACACAAATAGAATATATTCCATCAACTTCTTCTAGTAAACCTGCTAGGTCTTCTGAACAAATTGATTTTGAGCCTAGAAGAAGTAAAAGGCAAAGAGTTGAAACCTCTTTTGGACCAGACTTTATTACTTCCTTTATTTCTGAGATAAATGATTTAGACTTCATTTCAGATCCTATAGCTCAAATTTTTCTATTAGATGAGGATCCTAAAACTTTTGAAGAAGCTATAAGTTCTATCGATGCTAGTTTTTGGAAAAGCGCTGTTAATGATGAACTAGAATCGATAATGTCTAATCATACTTGGGAATTAGTTGACTTGCCTAAGGGATTCAAACCTATCTCCAACAAATGGGTCTTCCGGAATAAACTAAGGCCAGATGGTTCGATTCAGCGATACAAGGCAAGGTTAGTCGTCAAAGGGTTCACTCAAAGGTTTGGTTTAGACTACTTTGATACATACTCTCCCGTTACAAAAATCTCAACGATTCGTGCATTATTTGCACTAGCCTCTATTCATAAGTTGCAGGTACATCAAATGGATGTTAAGACTGCTTTCTTGAATGGGGATCTAGATGAGGAGATTTACATGGAGCAGCCACTAGGTTTTGAGGCACCTGGTATGGAAGGCAAAGTTTGTAGACTCAAAAAGTCACTCTATGGACTTAAGCAGGCTCCTAAACAGTGGTATGAGAAATTTCATAAAACTATTCTTAGTTTTGGTTTTGTTGTGAATGGTTCGGATGCTTGTGTGTATTCGAAGATGTTTGAAACTGAATGTGTTATCATAAGTCTTTATGTTGACGACATGTTGATTTTCAGTTCTAACATTGAGTCCATTAACAAAGTTAAAAATTTCTTGTCCACTAAGTTTGAGATGACAGATTTGGGAGAAGTAGATGTAATTTTAGGAGTCAAAATTACCAAAACTGAGAAGGGATTTTCTTTATGTCAAGCACATTATATAGAGAAAGTGCTAAAGAAATTTGACAGTTTTGATGTCGTCCCTGTTCGAACTCCTTATGATCCTAGCATACATCTAGTTAAGAATAAAGGAAGTAGTGTTTCCCAAACTGAATATGCTAAATTAATCGGAAGTTTAATGTTCTTAATGAACTATACTCGGCCTGATATTGCTTATGCTGTGAGTAGACTAAGTAGATATACTCATAATCCGAGTGGTGAGCACTGGATTGCGCTTAAACGCTTACTGAAGTATCTTAAGGGTACTGTGAATTGGAAACTTGAGTTTGTTGGCTTTCCTGCGGTATTGGAAGGATATTGTGATGTCAACTGGGTTTCTGATAATGATGAGGTAAGCTCTACGAGCGGGTATGTTTTTACTTTGGGTGGAGCAGCGATCTCGTGGAAATCATCAAAGCAGACTTGTATTGCTCGTTCTACCATGGAGTCAGAGTTTATAGCTCTTGACCTAGCTGGGCAAGAAGCCGAGTGGCTCAGAAGCTTGTTAGCAGATATTCCGTTGTGGGGAAGACCGACTCCTCCAGTTTCATTGTTGTGTGATTCACAAGCTGCGATATGTGTGGCTAAGAACCAAGCTTACAATGGTAAGAAAAGACACATTCGTATAAGACATGAATCAGTTAGACACTTGATAAAGAATGGAGTGCTCTCTTTAGAGTATGTGAAGTCGGAAAGGAACCTAGCAGATCCACTTACCAAAGGGTTAAGTCGGAAGCTGGTCCTAGATTCGTCGAGGGGGATGGGTCTAAAGCCCATTGGTTGAGGAATTCATGGTGGATACCCAACTTAGTTATCTAAGTTCCATGTGGTCAAACGAAACCATGGAAAGACTCATAGTGCACATTCCTACTGCCTATCCCTATGATGAATAATGTGCATGCCCAGGATGAGCTTAATTGCTCTTAATAAATTCATAGCCCAGGCTTTGGGTGGTCTTAGTGAGAAAGACTTGATGAATTTACCGATTTTGGCTGAATATCTATTCTTAATAAGTTCATAACCCAGAGTGAGTGGGTAGGAAATGATGAACTTACCGACAGAAAGGTTGAGTTTGTTAAACTCTTAATAAATTCAAATCCAAGTATTTGGATGGTTCTAGTGAGAAGGACTTATTGAATTTACCGATAAATGAGGTTGAATATTTATTCTTAATGACTTCTTAGCCCAGAGTTTGGGTGGTTCATTTATAATGAACTTGAAAAAAGTCACCATACCCTTTGTGAGGTTGAGCTATTATAAAAGCTCTTAATTATTTCATATTCCTTTTTAAAGGGTGGTTTATGTTGAGATAAACTTGATGAAATAACCTATGTAAGTGAGAAGGGTTAGCCGCCTTCTATGAAAAATGTTGGGCTATTTTTCTAGCACACTTACTAGAATCCTGAGGTAAGATGGCCAAATATATACTTTTGTATATATATATCTTACACATCGAGGACTCAGGTGGATGAAGGGGTTAGTTGTGTGTTATGAGTTTACCCTGATCTTAGAAAGTTCCAGACTAGTTTCACTTATCTAAGAGAAGGATTGCTCATCATCACTATGTACTAGTTCCAGATATGTTCACTAGTGCTTAAGCAACTAATCTCGCTATTACTCTTCTGGAAAGCTTGTTTTCGAGTTTCAGAAGATTTCTTTCGCATTAGTGGGGGAATGTTGGTAATGCTCAATCCCACATAGTGTTGGAAACACTATTGGGAATGGTATTTAAGGCTTGACATTCCACTTCCTTGTTGAGTGATAGAGAACAAGGGGGGCTCTCGTGCACCGCCGCCGCCGTCCGTCCGTCTCGGCTCGGCACGGCACGGCACGGCTTGGCTCGGCTCGGCTCGTGGTCGTGGTCGTGGTCGAGGTCGAGGTCGTGGTCGTGGTCGTGGTCGTGGTCGTGGTCGTGGTCGTGGTCGTGGTCGTGGTAATACGTGTCTTCGACACGTCCGCGCGGATACTATCTTTTTAGAGAAAATTCTTGAGGAATTTCTCTTTGAAAGAAACAAATGGAAAATGTGAAAGATATCAACTGATATTTATAGGCTGCTGAGGACTGTTTGAATTTCAAATAATAACAGCTGAATTATTTTTTATCAGAAATTAAATAGTTTATTCCTAAATTAAATCAGAAACGTTAAGATGTACCTGGACTGATTTACAGCTTTGTACAGAGGAGACAAGCTATTAATATCAGGAGTTACAGGAGTTATTTGATTTAATTCTAGGGGTTACATGATATAATTTCGGGAGTTATAACAGCTGAATAATGATACAATGAACCTGGACTATTTCTGAGTCAGGTTCATCTAGTCGTTTCAGCTGTTACAAATAAGAGGTTTAATCCTGAAATTTTATGGACGATTTTAACCCTATTTCTAGCCTATAAATAGAGAGCTATATTCAGCTTCTCAACTCACTCAAAAAAATTCACAATACACTTACCAAAGTGTTTTCTAAAGTTCTCTCTGTGAGTTCTCTCTGAGTGCTTTCCGATCAGAAGTGCAATACCACCAGCAGTCCACTCCGATTTCGGGTGTACGGAATTCGGAACGACCGTGTTAACCTCGGGGGACGGTCCGCCTACTGCAGCGATTACACACATCGAGGCGAATTCGTTTCTAAGGCAGTGGTTCTTACCACGACACGGTTTAAGAATCTATTCTTCTTAATTACTGTTTATATTTTCAGTCAGTGCTAACGGTGTAGTTTTGCAGTTCATATATCCAACAGATTGATCATATTCGTTGTATTGCATTATTTCACAAATATATACATCCAGGAAAAACACGCACATAATCTATGCATGTGCATATGCATCCTCACCAATAATTTATATCAGTAGTATGCAGTATTTTATCAATAAGACATGTGTTTTCAGTAAAACAGATAAAAAGATAATAAGGCATAGACAAACCAGATGATGTATCGGTACATCAGTAAGAGTTCCAAATCTTCCATTAATGCGCCCCACAACCTCAATGACCTGGCTTCTAAGTTTTTGATCCATTATATTAAGAAAGTAAACAAGTAAGGTTCATTAAGGAGCCTTGGATTATCAGAAGACTAAATGAAATGAAACAATATTGTGGTAATGAACAGAAAGAAGATTGATATTTATGAAGGAACATACACTCGGGAACCTCAGTCCTGCTAGGGACAGCAATTTGCAGGAGAACCACCTTACTACGCCAAACGGGATTTTCCCCGAGGAATTTTTCAAATGCCAAAATCTTCTGTGGTATTCCCTTGATCATATCAAGCCGATCAACGCCTAACATTACCTGATCATTATTGAAATAAACCATAAGTAACTTATTGAAATAAACGCCTAACATTACCTAACATTAACTGTAATTTCAAAATGCAAAAGAACAAATTAAATTGGCAGATTGAAGATTCTTAGTTAATAAACGGAGAAAGAGGTAATTTATGACATACTGTAGCTACACGAGTCAGTTTTCCTTGATTCTCAACTCCTTCAGGTGTGCCCTCCAGCCCGAAATACGAGTACAAGCACTAACAAAATGCCTTCCATAATCATATGTATGGAATCTGGAAGGTCATAAAACCAACAATTTAAACAGTAATGACCTTGAAAACTTCAGCATAATATGATTTTGACAGAAAGAAAATAGCAGAGTCCATTGAAACCGACATTGCAGTTCAAAAGAAGAATAGGCACAATCACTCCAGAAATTTACCAGTTCATAAACCAAGGTGAATTCAGATATCCAACCAAGAAATCTACAAAGTGTATAAACAATGAAAAGTTGAATTTTCTTTCCAATAAAACAATGTCAAAAGCAAAATGATGTTACCCTATTAAATCAGCAGCAAGAATGGACCTCAGCAGCTCTGACCGAGATGGCAGTGTCCTATGGATTTCGGAAGAAGGAAACGGAGTCTGTAGAAACCAACCGACTTTCATTGTACTGTTCCGTTCTTTTAGACACTGGGGAAGAAACATGAGGTGGTAATCATGGCACCAAACCACCTCCCCTTCCTCATAATGTTGTTGAATCACATCGGCAAACAACTGATTAGCTTTTTTATAAGCATTGAACTTAGATTGAAAAGTTCGAGTAGCCGCAACTGTCTTCTTGCGGAAGTCCAAGATAGTGAAACAGTGGCCACAGTATGTTGTTACAATATCCACTATAATATTGCTGAGCAATTTCTTCTTCAAGAAAAGGGTTGTTTAAAAATTACCAGATTGCTCTTGTTATGCAAAATGTACATCTCTTGGGATGCAATCGCCATTTATTTCAAGATCACTTGCTCGAGGAAGAATGTAGATTCTTAGGGGGAAGCTTAATTGCTGTGGACTAAAATGCAACAGAATGCAATATGTATCGCCATATGCAAAGAATCAGATATATAGAGAGATTCATCTTCACGCAGTTCGTTATCCATAACCGTTTCTGCCTTTGGAAAAGGCCTTCTCCTTTCTCCTTTTAGGCCATGCAGCAGCCACCAGATTATTATTATAACGAAGAGATGATAGTTTGCTTAATCAATAGAAAATCATGTTAAAATCCAAGAGATATTTAAGTGTTTAGGAGTTAATCTTTAATTTGCATAGTGGAGCGATCAAATTAGTTTTATTTGAATAATCAAACAATTATTTATGCAACAATTGATATTTGAAGGCTAAATTGCATAACTTATCAATTACAAAGTCCTTAAAGTCATTAAACAAACATTCATATACTAAAGTAAAATTATAATTTAGAGGATAGTATGGATACTCAAACCTTTCGTATCGATACTAAACCACAACATCAATATCAATTTATTAGTATCAATAACCTTTGCACTAAATGATTAAAAAAAATCCTAAAATGCATGAATATCAACTTATTGGTATCAATAACCACATTTATCGTACAAAGCCCTTACTTTTGAAGTGGGATTTAAAGAGTCTTCATCGTTGAACATGCCGGATGAAGTCCCAGAATCAGATTGCTCTAAAGAGTCTTGGGTTGTGAGTTCCCGAGAGATACAAAAGCCTTTTAGTCTTTGTGTTCTGAGGTGTCTCATGCCAGAACACAAATGATTCATACAAATACTAATAACAGCTAGAGCATTTAGATGATAGATCCCTTAGAGCCTAATCAAAGGGGAGACTATTGAACCTATGTAACAACTAGAGTTTTAAATACAACAAAGGAACTATCGATATTCCTTGTTTTGGGCAGCTTTATTTTGCAACAATTAAAGACTCCAACGGTCATAATTCAACTCCAACAGCTCCAAACGACCACAAACTCATTCCAACATATAAAAACAAGTTAAGAACATTTGAAGAATGTTACTACACCAATTCAAGCTTAAAGATCAAGAGAAAATAATATTTCATTCTTATTTTTTATTTTCTTTTATATATAATGTGTTGAATATCTTTTAAAAATTTCTTCAAGAGTTTCACGGCTGTGTACTAAATGATAAAAAAAATAGACTGACAAGACAAATAGATATAGGTGTCATATAGTAAATTTAGCTTTATATATCACGTGAGTCTACCAATAGTTATGCCAAGAGATTATGACTAAAGGATATGGAACTCTAGAAGCTTCGATCAGCGAATGAGTTCATTTGGAGGCAATGATAAGCAGAGGAGTGATAGTGGAGATACGGCTTGCAAAGGAGATCCAAGACGAAATACAACACTTATCCCTATATCTTAATTAGCTTTCAGTTACAATCGACTTTTACTGTTTTTCAATCTTATATTAATAAATTATATTTTAGACTTATGGATAAATTACATAGATGATGTAATTCAAAATGACTCGTCTATTTACGACTTAATGGTATAATCAAATAGGACCCAAAGTTAAAAATATCTCAAAATTATAATTTTTAAAATATTTATATATAATTTAAAAATATTATAAAAATAGAAATGTAAAATTTTAATTATAATTTAAAATTAAATGAAATATTACCTATTATCATCATTTGAGAAGAATTAAGGGCACAATAACTATTTCATTATCAAATCAAAAGTTTAATAACTATTTTTTAAGTTCAAAAATTTCAATAGTAAAAAAGTTCCATTTGTTTAGTAAGTATTTGTGTACTTCACTCATATTATAATACAAATACAATAGAAGCTCTATAAATCAATACTTGATAAATTTAATAATCTCTCCAAAATAATAATTTTTTTTTGTTTTGATTGGAGTCCATGTCTAAATTAATAATTCCGATAAATTAATAAGATAATAATTTTTCAAAAGACCCTTATATAAATTTATGGTCCATTTAATATTATAATTAATAATTATATAATATTACAAATATAACCAGAACAACTTAGTAAAATATGATTATATTGTTGTTTGCTTCTTAAAATGTTCTCATAATACAATAAAAAATTGTGAAAAGTTGTTAACGCTACTAGTGCTTCATTTGCATAATTGATTTCAAAGACATTATATCATCTTTAATTTTATCTTTAATAGGATTTTCAATAACACTAATCATATTATACATGAACATCATTCAATTAGTCAATACAATACATATATTTTATTCATGAAGAATAACTTGACTCGTTGTATCGCAAAAAGTCTTTTTAAACTAATAAATTATTAATTTATTTATTGATTAATACTCTTTAATTTAATAAAATTACATAATTCTGGCATTATTAATTTATAGAGATTCTCTTATATACTCCAATTACGTGTATACAAATATATTTATATTAAAATTATTAATTAAATTAAATAACTTAAAGCTTATATTTTATTTTTTAAATATAATTAATAAAAAATGAATAATTAAAAATATTACTTGCTTGAAATTCGATCTACTTTAATCAAAATTCAATCCAACAATGTTCTAATCTTATATAATAATGTTTATTACATACAAGACACAAGAGTTTAAGTTCTAATCTTATATAATAATGTTTATTACATACAGGACACAAGAATTTAAGAATAATAAGCTTCTCTACCCAAACTAAACCTGACCTAACATTTTTTTTTATGCAAAATGCACATCTAAAACAACTGGACATATCACCAAATCCTGGAAACGTTCCACAAAACTAAGTTAAAAGAACAAAAACTTTATTTTAATGATCATTGTTTTCTTTTTTCATATTTTTTCCTAATTTTCCCCTTTTTTGTCTGAAAGTGAAAAACTGTGTAGAGAAGAAAGCCGAGTTAAAAAAGGAACCCGCACCCCAAAAGATCTTTCGGTTTTGCCTGAAAACAAGAAAAAAGACGAACTAAATTTATACTTAACTGCTGGCTTTGATGTCTTCTGTTCTTCTGTGTCTAAATTCTCATCTCATGTCAAGCCGTTGATGCCAAACTCAACCTGTTATACAACAAAAGGAACACCAAAGAAAGCAATATAAGGAAAAACATTGCATATGGAACACAGAAGAGAAGTCATTTAAAATAGATCGAAGGAATACCTTATCAAGGGATTCTTCGCAGACTCTGCATCGACAACTCCATTCGTGGACTTTAGAACAACACCAACCTCCGTATTTGGCTTCACATCAGAAAACAAACAAACAAAATCAAATAGATAAGGTAAAGGAGTTGGACTCAATGGATCAAAATATTGAAGAAAAAAAATGTTATTTAAAGCTTAAATTAGCAAGAGCCTTTCATCTCCAAGATCGTGTAATGCCCAACTGGTAGTTCATATACCAGCCAGAATATTTTGAATGTATGGTTATAAGATCTAAAAAATGGACATGAGAAACACCCACAACGCAATCAATAATGTATGGAACAGAAAAACACAAAACAAACTCGAAGAAAACTAATTGAGAATAAAAATGAAATCATAACCAAACATAATAAATAAAAATCAAGAAATATTAAGGAACTCAGAACCAAAACCTCTTAACTCCTTCGGCAATCCATCTTGAAGTACTCTATTTTTATCAGCATGTTCATCCTCCACAGAGGATTTCAGATCATCATACGAATCACTCCGAGAAGACAACAGGTTATCATAGCCTCCATTGCTCCCTTCACTGCTACCTGCAGTAGATTCATTCCCAATATCCTCATGTGAACAAGAGCTGATACCACTGGAATTCGATGATGCATTTGCTCCAGCAAATCCATTCGTTTCATCCAGACCTGAAGTAGAACAACCTGTAGAATTGCTACTAAGCTTATGACTTATAATCTCAGGTGAACCTGATTGATCTCTATCAGGACTTCTCTGTTTCACCAGCCTATGTTGCTCACTATTTTCTCCATCAAGATCCTTTTTCCTTTTAAGGCATTTCTCCGCAGATTCAGTTTGATATGCAACACCATTATTGCGAGACAGTTTATAAAACTGCTGGTGAGAAGTAAGCCGCAGATTCCGAGAACATTTATAGTCATCTGGGTGTACATAAGCTGGAAGCTGCTTTCTACGGACATGGGATACATAGATTTCCATCCCAGGTTTCCAAAACATGTACATGTTTATTGAATGCCGGAACTCATCAACTGACCCGCGTATATCAAACTGATGACCTTCGTGAATTATTTCCCCCTGTTTCCTTTGTAAACCCATAAAAAATGCACAATGGGCACTTGGCTTAGAGGCATCTACATACTCCTGAGGATAAGGATGGCACTGCAGCTTTCCATAAGTGTCACGCTCAATCTGTAAATAATATGCATAAAATGTTGACGAAACTGAAATAGGAAAGCCTCTATATTGTGTTGTTTCATGAAGTATCATAATTGATCAAAACTTTAAATTTAAATGCCATGCTATGAAGGCACAAATATTACCAGCAACGTCAGCTGCCTCAGCCGGGATTCTACCCAGCCTTTCCAAGAACGCAAGTCATCAGCATCAGCTGCAAGAATGTCAACCTGCAAATAGTTTGTGTAGCTTTGGAAGAACAAATAAGGCTCAAACAGAGCACTCCACTTTGCTCTATTCAGCTCAATTTTCTGGATTTGGAGGAGAAAGAATAAGGATCAGTATAATTTTTGGCCAAAAGGATCAGTATAGAGAAATCGTTTCTCCATTATCTTACCTCACAAATGCTGTTACCATATTGGAACTGCTCCATCATGACTCGAAGAGTGCTTGTGGACACATTATAGCTAGAGTTCATGCATGGATAGGAAGGTGTAATAATTGGCATATGATGAGTCCTATCACGATGATTTTTACGAGGATCCCATACAGAAAATCCAAGTCCATCTTCAATTGCACAAAGCATAACTGGGTTTGGCCATCGCCACTGGGTATAGACCCTAAAAAAACGTGAAACAAGCATACTTGGAACAGCATTAGGATAAAGTTGGCAAATTCGAGCTACAAGAAGAGCCCAGTTAACACCCCCGAGAAATCCAGTCACCTGAAAATGACGATTTGTGTTAAAATAAATAAAAAAAATATAGAATAAATTAGAAAAGTATATAGGAGATGACTGACATTGGAATAAACACCGCGCCTTTTAGCCCAAAACTTCAGACATCGAAGCGTAGTGCGAAAATGCTATAACATTAAAAGAGTAGGCAACTTAGTAAAGGACACAAACAAATCAATAGTTATATAAGGCACCAAAAGGAACACTAAATTTTGAAGATCAGGTACAAGATCAGAAGACACTTCACCTCAACATTTGGCACCAGTTTCAGGATTTGATCTGCAACCCTGCAGCCATTAAGACTTCTAACAGTAGGCTCATCAACATTGTACAATACCGACATGTCAGAGATGTCCAGGTCCTGTCCACAAGCAAGCATTTATCAAATATATGCAAACCACCAAAAAATCATAATGGCTTCACCAACTGTTCATCCCAAAGCAACTAGACAGAAGTTAGAAGAAAAATAACTAACTAGAACTCATTTTAACTACATAATTCTGAGAAAGGAAAAACAAAATCAAACAAACTTGGAAAAAAATGCTACATATTATTTCTATCAATAAAACATATAAAATTGGTAGCTAAATGAACCCAACATGATATGTTGTGAGGAAACTAACAAAATGCATAACAAAAACATAGAAACATTCAATGTTAAGTCATACTAACACACTTATTAAAAGAAACATTGTGAAGAACGGGAAACAGAATTGGAGACAAATGCCCATAAAGAGAGAAAGGGCATAACTCTAAATGTCACATTATACCAGATGAAGATGGGAGACGGAGAGAAGCACTTTTAATACAATTCTTAAATCAAGTGAGTACTGAGCAGCAATATACAACAAGACACTAGAAATTAATATACAGTTGTATATAAACAGATGCTTATTTCAAATAGAAATTTTAATTACGGAAACAACAGGTAGTTCAAACTTACATGAGGCACAACCAAATGAGAGATGCTTGCATAAAGAAGATCAATTGGAATTCCATTAAACTTAAATTTCATTACAGGGACATGAGCATCTGGAACTGGTTGTAACTCTGTAACTTCTTCCCTTTCTGCCAGGATATTGTGCAGTACAAAGAAGAAATCTTCCTGGTATAGACACCAAAATTCTGGATAAGTGAATAAATAACTTCAGTGTTCATAAATCAGTCAAACAGTACTGTGAATATACCTCTCGGTTCACATAGGATGGTCCCACGCATAAAGTGTCTATGTCAGAGCCAGGTCCATGAACCTATCAAAACAATAAAACTTAAGCAATAATGTGTAACAAAAACGTTTGTATTAACATAAGCACTCTGCTAACTCAATCAAACAAGACCGAAGTTATGTTCAAGTAAGCATTCCAGTAAAGCATAGTTATTCAAGTGTGAATACCATAAGCCCCATAAAACAACAAACAAGAAAGAAAAACATCAAACACTCACCCCAAGGCGATAAGAACCAAAAGTAAAAATGACAGCATTTGCATCTTCAACCATCTGATCTGTGTACCCTCTCAAATGAGTAAGTTGCTTCACCCAATTAGTTACAATCTATAAATACAATGAAGAGATATGTTACCAAAAATGTAAAACAAGATCGTTTTATTTCAAACTTCGTTTCTCTGACATAATTCGTTAACAAAATATGATATAGGATGAAAAAAATTAACCTATACTAAACCAAAGTTACAAAAATAGTTTCTCATTACTTGAAAAATCTAATCGTAGGTAACTTAGAATTGTTAGTAGCACTTGTAGAACTTAAAATTTTCACAAAACAAAACTTTCTCCCGAAAAGAAATACAGGCAATTACCTCTTGAATTCGGCCAAGAACTTCTTCTCTACTTGAAGATTCCTCGTTGATCTCGTAGAGCCCAGCTTCCACCAAGAACTGTCGACATTTTTCCCACGAAAAAAAAAAGTAAATAAAAAAATACCCCAAAACAAAATCCAATATTTCCAGATAAATACCTTTTCCAAATCACGACTTCTTAGTATGTCGGCTTCGGTGGGACCCGCCATGGAAATCGGCTTTGTGACGCCATACTGCGTCATTGGCGCTGCTGCCGGCGGCGACGAACCACATAATCCCTCTGAACTCACCATCTCTACCAATATATAAACTTTTAGCGTCAAAACATAAAACCCTAGAAATTCAATGGAAAGACGAACCGCTCAATTAAGAAAACTGTAGCGTTGGACGAACAATGGAAAACCCAAATAAAGAATTTCTTCTATATAAGCAAATCGAAGAACACACGCACAAAAAAGAGAGAAACTGAAAAAGGAATTGAAGGCAGAAACAGAAAAAGAAAGTTTCTTTGGAACCAAGAAAAACAAAAACGAAAAAAAGGAAGAAAAAAAGTGGAGATTGAGAGAAGGTCGTCAACTGTGGAAGGGATGGTTTTTCGGGGAGATTTTTAAACCTAAAAGATACAACGAAAATCATTACTTTAGTGTGTTTAAATATCTTTATCTACCCATCTCTATATATATGTATACAATAAATATGATTCAAAAATATATCTGTACATAGAAAAATAGGGTAAACTGTACTAGTGCTCAATAAACTTTGAAGTTTATTTCAGTTTTACCATCAAACTTTTAAAACATTCATTATAATTATAAACTTTTAATTAGATTTCAGCATGTTCACATTCATTAGCTTCTGTTAAAAAATGTTACAATATTAATTTTTTTCTAAAAAAAAGCACAAGGATTTAAATTTTCAACTGTCATTAAAATTAAATTTTCAAGGAACGGAGTAGTCGTCAATCAATCCTACTAATGAAAAGGATTTGTTTAATCATGAGATTAATATAATTTGGTTTCAAGCTGATCTAAAGTTAGTGATTATTTTACTAAAGAAACCATCAAATGAGAGTAAAATTAACGTTAAAATTTTATTTTTATTTTGATAATCTAATTATTTTTTCAAAATTATAATTAATGTTAACTAGGCTAAACTAGACTAAGAACATGTTAATTTTCCACCAAGATCAATATTTAATTTATATAATTTTAAAATTAAAACTAAATTATTTTTGAATTTGTGTGGAACAAAAAAATTAAATAAATATTTATTTTATAAAACAATATTAAATTAATCTAAAAACTAAATTTATAATATTTATTAAATAATTTAAATAATCGCAAATTTATATCTCATCAATTTATAATATTTATTTAATTTAAAATTTATATTATGCCGTAAATAAACATTATCAAAATTAATTTTTAGAATAATTTAATATTAATTTTATAAAATATATAATTAATTATTTGATTATTTTTATCTCCTAATAGAGTTGAAAATAATATAATCTTTAATTTAAAAATTATATAAATTAAATATTGATGTTTGGTGGAATGTTAAAACGTTATTAGTTAAGGTCTTAAGTTCGAATTTCATATTCAATCAGAAACCTTATAATATTTGTATGATGTTGTGTAAATCATTCTACAACGATTATGATAAATTTTTTAAATATTATTTATTAAAAATATCAAATATTTAAAAATAATATTATTTATTATTAAAAAACTTAATATTATTATTTCAACATTGTTGAAAAAACGAGACGATGAGGGAAAATCCAAAAAATATTATAGTTCTTTCAAATTATTTTATTTAAATTATTAATATGTTATAAAAATTTATTTTCAAAAATTTAAAATCTTATCAAGATTTAACAATTTTGGAACTAATGAATACTTTTATTTGAGAGTTAATTGTATCACATGTCCTCAAAGTATGACTCTTATTTTAAATTGATCCCTAAACTTTTAGATATTCCAATTCCACGCCTAAATTATAACTATGATTCTAAATGAGCCCTCAAACTTTTGAACATTTCAAATTTATACCTAAACTATGACCTTCATTCTAAATTGGTCCCCAAAATTTTTGAACATTCCAGTTTCATCCCAAACTATATGTATATACCAATAACATCACTTGTTAATAAAATTGTTAGGCCAAATTATATTATTATTGTATAAAAAAATTAGGTAAAACTATGGTCGAAACTAATTACATATTTGGATGAATTTGGGTATGAAATTGGAATATTCAAAAGTTTGAGGATCAATTTAGAAAGATAATCATAGTTTAGGGATGAAAATAGAATGTTCAAAATTTTAAGAACTAATTTAGGACTGAAGTCATGGTTTGAGGATGAAATTAGAACATTCAAAAGTTTTGCAACTGATTTAAAATAAAGGTCATAGTTTGAGGATATATGATGCAATTAACTCTTTATTTAATTTAGAGCGGGTGGTCTTTTGAAAAGCAAATCAGGAGAGTGGATTTTAGGATTTGCTGCACATTTGGGAGTCTGTTCAAGTGTGGCAGCAGAGCTTTACGCCATTCGAATGGGTCCATTACATGGAAATATGGCTATGATAATATGGTGTGAAATTGATGCAAAGGTTGTTCTACTACTTATTAACCTTGGCGATGTCTCATTACATCAGTTGGACTCCATTATTGAAGTTATTCGAAATCTCAAAGCTCGCAATTGGAACTTGTCATTCCAACATACTTATCGTGAAGGTAACTTTTGTGCAGATGTTCTTTCAAAGATAGGTTGTAACCTTGATGTGGAGTTGATTGTTTTTGGTTCTCCACCATGAAAGGTCTCTCCGTGCTTAGAAGCAGTCGCTAGGGGTCTCATTCCCGAGAAGATTTTCTCTACACTAGTCATTTTATCTCCTTTTTCCCTTTTGTAACTATATATATATATATATATATATATATAAAAAGATAAAAAGAGCCTTAAAATTATCTAAAACTGAATAAACTGAAAAACAAAAAAAAAAGGTGAAATTTTAAAATAGAAAAAAATAACATTATATTACTTATACAAGCCCAAGGGACCCCGGGAATTGCTGTGAAATTTTACCTCATTCTTTTCCCTTCCTCTCTCTAAATTTATTTCCTTAATCAAAATTAACATATATATATATATATATATATATATATGAAACTGTTTTCTTTGAATTGTCTCCCTTCATTCGTGATATGTATTATAAATCTACTACATTTGTCAGGACTACAGTTGGCGACACCGAGGCTTTCCCGGTGGAAATCGGACTCCACCAGGGGTCGACTCTTAGCCCTTACATCTTCGCTTTGATTATGGACAACATCGTTTGTGTGACACCAGACGGGGTTCTATGGTGTATGCTTTTCGCTGACGACATTGTCCTAGTTGTTGGAACAAAAACTGAGCTGAATAGTAGACTGACTACCTGGAAGACTACTTTGGAAGAAAAAGGTATAAAGATCAATATTGAAAAGACAGAGTATTTATGTTCAAACTTCAGTGGGAACCAAAACGATGAAGATGTAGAAGTATGCATAGAAGGACACGTTCTCCCCATCAAATAATTGTTTCAAGTACCTAGGGTCTATGATACATAAAGATGGGGAGTGTGGATGACGACGTTACACACCGTATTAAAGTAGGATGGCTAAAGTGGAGGGCTGCTACTGGAGTTTTGTGTGACAAAAAGGTGCCTCTAAAACTTAAGGGAAAATTTTATAGAATAGCAATAAGACCAGCGCTAATGTATGGATCAGAATGTTGGGCATTCAAGAAGGATCACGTAAGGAGGATGGAGGTCGCATAAATGAGAATGCTTCGATGGGCATGTGGTAGGACTCTGTGGGACATGACACCAAACTCTGCTATTAGGATGTCCTTGGGGGTGGTGTCTGTATCCGAAAAATTGAGGGAGGGAAGACTACGGTGGTTTGGACATGTCCTTAGGCGACAACTGTCGGATGCTGTCAGGAAGGTAAAGTCGATTACAGTCGACGGTGCCAGAAGAAGAGGACGACCAAGGCGGAAGTGGGAAGAATGCTTGAGATCTGATTTGAAGGATTTAGCCCTTACCGATGACATGACCTCTGATAGGAAATTATGGAGACTTAAGACCAAGGTAGCCGAGTAGTGCGGGTCACATTCGTAGGGTGTATCATCTCTGTCTTCTTTTAATGTCTTTGTAGTAATTTACATGACTTCTACTTTTTATATGTTTCTGTCAATGGAAATTATGGAGGCTTAGAACTAGGGTAGCGGAGTAGTGTTGTCTTTGTTTAGGTTTTAACCCATTTTATTTATTTCTTCTCGTAGCTTGCTATCGTTGACTTCTGTGTATCATTCTCTTCATGTTTCCTCTTTTTAAATTTTTTCGGGTCTTACGTTTCTGTCTATTGCAGAGATTTTTACGCATGGATTTATTTGCAAGGATTACTTCCCATTTACAGACGCGCATATTGAAGACTGCATTATTAACACTGTTCAACTATGTATTTATTTATTTAATTATACATGCATTGCATTCTATCTTTATTTTTAATTTTCTGACTGCCGGAAGTCTTTCATGGAAGCTGTTTTTAACCTGGCGTTGGGGCAGCCTACTACCCTACCTCCCCTTACCCCATTGTATATGAGAATAGGGTTTTGTTGTTGTTGTTGATTGTTTTTCCAAACATCTATCAAATTTGATATATTTTTTGTTGGATTATGGATCTTTATATTGTTTTCGGTCAATTTTGTAGCTTTAACCAATGTAAATTTGGTCTCATCTTTGTCTTAATTTATGATTTGTTCCCAGAACTTCATCTCTTATAAGACTTTCAAATCTAGGTTATGTAAATGTGATTCAAATATGCCATGTTTAAGAATGTTTGTGCTTATAAACTAGTCATTTTATGTGGAACTTTAATTGTATTTGGCAATTTATGTGCTTATAGTTCATGTTTATTTTCCATTGATTCCATGAATTAGGAGGTAAAGCAAGGAAATCATGATCGAGTGGCTGCAACATCCATTGGTGAAGGTTAGATTTTGGGGCTTCCCTTTGTTTGACAGTAATATCCTGTTTTTGGTTTAAAGCTTGATTTGGAGAGATGGCCAAGGGTAAGATTAGAAAGAAGATCAAGCGGAGTCAGCCCTATACGTTCGTATGCGGTAAAAGGTCTGCCCAAGCAGGTCCACATCTTATTGAAGGGGCTGGATGCTCTAGAGTTGTGCATTGCAACCGACCTCATATGCACAGGAAAACACCTTTAAAGTATCAATCAAATTATATATCAACGACCAAGTACAATTTTCTCAGTTTCTTACCAAAATCTTTGTATGAACAATTCCACCGAGTTGCCAATTTGTACTTCCTTGCAGCTGCAATTCTTTCACTTACACCCCTTTCGCCGTTTTCTGCGGTGAGCATGATTGCTCCCTTGGCCTTTGTTGTAGGGCTTAGCATGGCAAAGGAAGGTTTGGAGGATTGGAAAAGGTTTATGCAAGATATGAATGTTAATTGTCGTAAAGTGAAATTTCATAAAGAGGAAGGAAATTTTTACGATAAGCAGTGGCAGCAGCTCGAGGTTGGAGACATTGTGAAAGTGGAGAAGGATAATTGTTTTTCCAG